AAAGCCTCATCTTTCTCCCACGGAGCGGCTGGTAGTTTCGAACCGCTGACCTTAAGGTTCGCAGCCCGATTCGTAACCACTACGCTACCAGATAGAAAACACTTAAATTGACATCAGCTCTTTAATATGAGTGTAGTGTACTATTATGATTATTTGTCATTGTCTTGGAAAGAGTCCCAAATAAATTCTATTAAAAAGTGTTTTGATGAAAGTATATAATATATTCAACATTGATTTTTGGCAAAGAGATCATTTAATTTCATTCTAGAATGGAGATGATGCCACTTGAACATCTAAGTATTTTAATGATGTTCTCATTTCCTGATCAGCTACCAAGAAAAACAGGACCATTTTAATTACATTGTATTTGGATTTTTTAAAATACATTATTTTTCATTTTCTTAGACATAAAGATTAAATAATCATTAGGAATAGGTTAAATATATGCCCTAAAGAAATTTGCTACAAGAATAAAAACGTTTTCTTTTTCTTGAAAATAATGTGTGCTTTATGTTTTAAACTGATACACCCATGTATTTTAAAATATCAAAAAAGGCCTGATTTTTCCATCTAAATCCAGAATTCTCAGACTATTTCTATTCTATAAATAGCTTCAAAGGGCTATGAAAATATTAATATTTTATAAATGTCTGTACAATATTAATACTATTTTTATCATACTAAAATGATCTGTTTAATAGAAGGGAGTCTTAACAAGATCATTAGAATATATAACTATTATAATAATTATTATTTAATGATTATTAAATAAAACAAAATAATAATATACTGATCTTCATTTGAAAAGATTTTCTAAACACCAGCGGCTAAATGTTAAGAAATGTGAATAATTTGAATATTTATATATATATATATATCTTCATATCACACATCTTTATAAACAAGTGGTTCAATCTGATAAAATCTGTTATCTCTTTTGATGAATCAGGGAAGAGTGGGAAACAAAACATCTCTACTTTCAGCAAATCTATATATCATAATCCAAATAATTCATAGGATGTAAATTGAGTCTTTAGGATGTCGTACCATACTCATTTTGAAATTGTTTTGTTGAAATATTAAAAGTATTAGAAATATGATATATCATTCCAGGTAAAATATAAATACAAGAAAACAAGCAAATCTTATTATATTAATATTGATTTTATCTGTAAGTGAAGATGATAATAGCAATTTTAGAGGAAATGACCTTAATTTGGTAAAGAGAAGTTTCTCCCTTTTAGTTAGAAAAATCTCAGGCTAAATGAAATAAGCAGTGAAAATTTTTCCAGTGAAATTAGATTGTGAAGTTAGCCACACTAGGTTAACATTGAATGGGAAAAAAATATTTTCAAATATTTACAGTATATATTATCTGCTAAAATTTAGAGACAATTTTCTGTTGGATTCAATTAGTCCCCACTTGCCCCCTTTCAGTTTTTGTTTCATTTGCTTGTCCAATGTGATGAGAATGTGGGGATGACTGTATTATGTGGGAAGGATCATATCACCATGGGAGTCCTGGTGTAGTCCTGTGGGTTAATGTGTTGAACTGCAAGGTCAATTTGAACTGCAAGGTTGGTGGTTCAAACTCACCAGTTGCTCCTTCGAAACCCTATCAGGGTCGCTATGGGTTGGAACTGACTCAACGCACTTGAGTTGAGTTGAACAACAACGTATCAATTTGAATATAATGTAGTTCACAAGAATGGTGTTTACTTCATGAAATCATAGAAGCAACTTTTTATTATTGATTTGAATTCTTTTTCCAGGCTTGTACACTGGAATGTGAAGGAAAACTTCCTTCCATCAAAACCTGGGAAGCTTGCAAAGAATTGCTGCAGCTGTCCAAACTGGAGCTTTCTCAAGATGGCACCAACACTCTCCGAGAGAATGAGAAACAGGAGGAGAGCCATTTGTTAGCCAAGAAGTATGGGGGCTTCATGAAGAGGTATGGAGGCTTCATGAAGAAAATGGATGAACTTTATCCTGTGGAGCCTGAGGAAATGGCCAATGAAGGGGAAACCCTTGGCAAGAGATATGGGGGTTTCATGAAGAAGGATGCTGAGGAGGACACCCTAGCCAACTCCTCAAATCTGCTGAGAGAGCTACTGGGAACAGGGGACAGCCAGGAGGGTGGCCCCCACCATGAGGGCAGTGATAATGAGGAAGAAGTGAGCAAGAGATATGGGGGGTTCATGAGAGGTTTGAAAAGGAGACCCCAACAGGAAGATGATATTAAAGAGCTACAGAAGCGATATGGTGGTTTCATGAGAAGGGTAGGACGCCCTGAGTGGTGGATGGACTACCAGAAAAGGTATGGGGGCTTCCTGAAGCGCTTTGCAGATTCTCTGCCCTCTGACGAAGAAGGCGAGAGTTACTCAAAGGAAGTTCCTGAAATGGAAAAAAGATATGGAGGGTTTATGAGATTTTAATATCCTTTCTCCTCCATGACCCCAGACCCCAGACCCCAGCAAGCCTTCCTTTATCCCCACCCCCACCCCCCATGAGAGACTGCCTGGTTGATTGAGTTTGGTTGTCTTGTGTTGCTTGCAGTGTATAATTTCTTTCATTGTCTGCCTAACTAGACAAACCTCAGAGCAGCCATTTCAAATTCTATGTTCTTCCAAGCGTGTTTAAGCTCAGCATTGGACCATTACAGGTATCTTGTTTTCATGCTAAAATGAGTTTTGTTGCCTTGTACTTTATTTTCAACAAAACATCAATAAATGCTTACTTGTATGTAGATATAATAAACTCACTCCCCCAACTGCATAATGTTCTTAGGTGTCTCTTCTTTAACAAGGTTCTCAATCACCTTTAGGGTTCTATAGTAAATCCTAAACCTGGAGGCAGTAAAATCATCTGCTTTTAACAGAAAACTACTGGGCTCCTTACAACAATTGAAATTGTGAACATATTTAATTAAGTTTCCTATATATAAAATCTAAAGTGAATAAGTCCATTGGAGCAAAATGGAATATATTTTCACTCTCATATCTGGAAATCAGATACATGAAAAAAAAAAAAAAAAAAAAACCTAATAAAAGAACTAGCTGTGCCTCCCTGTATAAGAATCCTTGCATTTCCATCCAAATGTAGTTGTCTTTTCTTAAGCAAGCTACTTTAGGAAATTGAAGATAATTTAACTCCATTTTATAAAGAAATTGAAGCCGAGAAAGGATAAGTGGTGGCCATAAGGCTGCCCAGCAATTAAAGAATATAAATGGAACTAAAACCCCAAACATTCCATTCCCAGTCAATATCCTCTCCAGCACAGTTTTGTATCTCTCACCCAGTTAACAATCAAGAAATAGAAGAAATTGGGACTGTATTTTGTTCATCATGTGAAAATCTACACTAGGAATGTCGTGAGTTCTCCAAAATCTGATGAATGCCTAGATAGTGGATTAGTGAAATTTTGTGACCAGATAATGAGGAAAGGTATTGTGAGAGGTTTTTATAGGTCATATTTTTAGAGTTTTAAGGCAAATTCAGATCACACAGAGAGGTTGTGACAGCTTCATATTAATTAAACTATAAGAAATGTAACATTTGTTTTTCTAATTGGAAGTTAGAAAAATTCAACCCCCATCTACTAGATAATCTTCTAGGACCCCTACTAACTTTCTCCATGTGTGTGCCAAAAAAAAAAAAATTAAAATCAAAATCCAAACTTAAAAATTCAAAGAAAACGCCTCTGTTCTTCAGTGTATCTAGATAGGCCAAAAGATATTAAGATCCAAGACCCAGGGCTCAGTTCTGATGAGCATCTCCATGGCCTCCAGCCAACCTTCCCTCTGTGTCCATTCCTGAAAGGACTCCTGAGACATCTACACAGCCAGGTACTATTAGAACTGTCACCTGATTCACACAAGTTCACTCATAGGATTCAACCACCATTTACCTCCCTAATCCTAGCTACACCAACTTTTCTTTCAAGTGGAATCCTGGGAGCCCAAATGAAAGCCTGAAACCCTTATTTTTATTATAATATTCAAAGGTTTTATTTTTGCAATCGATTTCATTTTAAACAGAGTAAGAACCAAACATAAGCACAAATTAGCTTTGGGGCTAGTCTTTTAAGGTAAAAAAGAAAGAAAGTCAGCTAATTCTCTCTCCTAGATCAAAAGAATCAGAAATCTTGGAAACACAAATCCCCACTTGAGAGGAGAAGGGGGATATGTGCTTATTCCTGTCAAGTGTCCAGCTGAGAAAATAATACAATTCACAATCAGAAGAATTTATTATTTTTCAAATCAAGCACAGTTCTCTAACTAGAAGTAATTCCTTCCTATTTTGAGGTACCTAGTATTTGTTGTTGTAGTTGTTAAGTACCGTCTAGTCAGTTCTGACCCATAGCAATGCTGTATATGGTTCAGAGGAGTGGCTGGTAAGTGTCAACTACCAGTCTTGCAGTTCAAACTGGCCCTGTGGTCAAGTGCTTATCTTACAGCCCCACACCAGGACCTGGTATTCGACTTGACAGCACTTTACAACAACAACAACAAATATATCACCAGCTGCTCCTTGGAAATCCAATACAGGGTCGCTATGGGTCAGAACCAACTTGAAGTCACTTAACAACAACAACACATATCAGTTATGCAGAGTCCTGGTGTGACACTATGGGCTAATGCGTCAGACTACAAACTTGTTTGAACCGCAAGGTCAGTGGTTCAAGCTCAACAGTTGCTCCTTGGTAACCCTATACAGGGTTGCTATGGGTTGGAATCAACTCGACGGCACTCAACAACAACAACAAATATATCAGTTATGGAATCCTGTTGTGGGGCTGTGGGTAAATGCATCAGACTGCAAATTCGTTTGAATTGCAAGGTTGGTGGTTCAAGCTCACCAGCTGCTCTTTGGAAACTATATAGGGTCACTATGGGTCAAAATTGACTCTACAGCACTTAACAACAACATATATCCATTATAGTTAACAAACAATTGTATCTTCAGGATTTATCACATGGTACAAGGGGCAAGTACAGCACAAAGTTCTCCTGGGGTTCCAAGTCCTCTGCCCCTTGGGTTTACCACCTCTTGCCTCTGCTGAGAGACTAGCAAAACCTGAGATCATGTGTTTGTCCTCTTCTCCCTCAAACTTGTGCCTTCTGGAACCTGGAAGATGGTCCATCAATGTTTAGGGTGAAGGAATAAAGGAAAGGGAAAACAAAAAGTGGTAAGGGGTAGAAAAAAGAAAGGAATGTCTTATTCCCATTGTGTCAAGGTGATTACAATACTGACTACATATGCACAGAGTCTGTCAGTGGAAGGTACAGACAGCTGTCTGCAGTCCTGGCCTGAGGGCTGTGTAGGTGCCAACCATCCTCATACGGCTCCCAGGCTGTCAACCTTGAATCTGAAATTTCATCCTGAGAATTTTACTCCTTTCATTCTTAAAGTCTTCAATGTTTTCAGGAATGTATTTTTTTTAATTCTTAAAGGCTTTGATGTTTTCAGGAGTTCACTATGAATTCTGAGCACCACTTATTTAGAACCATCTGAGATTCTATTGTATGTGCAGCTATTTTCAATGAGACTGTGGTCCAATGTCGGCTCAGCACAAATGCCCTGGATTTTTAAGAGAAGATGAGGAGAAGATGCACCTGTAGACTTAAGAGGCTAACCAAGAAAATGAAGTATGCAGCTAGTATGTTGTTGCTGTTGTTGTTGTTGTTGTTGTTGTTGTTGTTGTTGTTAAGGGTCATCAAGTCAGTACTGACTCATAGTGACACAATGCACAACAGAATGAAACAGTCCTATCCTGTGCCAACCTCACAATCTTTGCTAAGTTTGAGCCCATAGCTGCTGTCACTGTACCAGTCCATCTTGTTGGGTCTTCCTCTCTTTCTCTGATGCTCCACTTTACCAAACATGATGTCTTTCTTCAAGGACTGGTCCCTCCTGATAATATGTCCAAAGTATGAGAGACCAAGTCTGGCCATCCTGGATTCCAAGGAACATTCTGACTGTACTTCTTCCAAAATAGATGGGTTTGTTCTTTTGGCAGTCCATGTATTTTTAATATTCTTCTCAAACACCACAAATCAAATGCATCAATTCTTCTACAGTCTTTTTTATTCCCTGTCCAACTTGCAAACATATACGAGGTTATTGAAAATACCATGGCTTGTGTCAGGAGCATCTTAGTCCTCAAACTGACATCTTTGCTCTTCAATGCTTTAAAGAGGTCTTGTACCTCTGAATTGCCTAATGCATTACATTATGTGATTTCTTGACTGCTGGTCCCATGATTGTTGATCATTGATCTGAGCAAAGTGAAGTCTGACAACTTCAATTTTTTCTCCATTTTATATGGATGTTTTTTATTGGTCCAGTAGTGAGGATTTTTGTTTTCTTTACATTGAGGTGCAACCCATACCAAAAGCTGTGATCTTTGATCTTCATCAATAAAGTATTTTAAGTCCTCTTCACTTTCAGCAAGCAAGATTGTATCAACTGCATATCGCAGATTTTAATGAGCCTTCTTTAAATCCTGATGTCACCGTTTTCTTCATACAATCTAGCTTCTCGGATTATTTGCTCAGCATACAGATTGAAAAAGTATGGAGAAAGAATAAAACCCTGGCATACACCTTTCCTAATTTTAAACCACTTGGTGTTCCCTTGTTCTGTTAGAGCAACTTCTTCTTGGTCTATGTACAGGATCCTCAGGAGCAAATTAAGTGTTCCAGAATACTCATTCTTAGCATTGTTGTCCATAGCTTGTCCTGATCCACACAATCAAAAGAGTTTGCATAGTCAATAAAGCACAAGTAAGCATGTTTTTCATACTCTCTGCTTTCAGCCAAGAGCCATCTGATGTAAGCAAAGGTATCACTCATTCTTCATCTTTGCCTGAATCTGGCTTGAGCCTATGGAAGTTCTCTGTCAATGTATACTTGCAGCTGTTTTTGTGTTATTATTAGCAAAATTTTACTTGCATGTGATGTTAATGATATTGTCCAATGACTTCTGCATTCCGTTGGGTCACCTCTCTTTGGAATGTGTACAAATATGGATCTCTTGCAGTCAGTTGGTTAGGTAGTTGTCTTCCAAATTTCTTGACATAGATAAGTGATTGCCTCCAGTGCTGCATCAGTTTGTTGAAAGATTTCAATCTGTATTCCATTAATTCCCAGCACCTTGTTCTTTGCCAATGCAGTCAATGCACCTTGTACTTCTTCCTTCAGTACCATTGACTCTTGCTGCTAGTATACTCCATATTAACTACAGGGGGTGCTGCTGCTTCATCTGTGCCTTTTCCCATGAAGTACATTCCCTGCACTCATTTCCACTAATGTGAGCACTCTCCAATTCAACATCCAAGTCTAAATCCACATCTTTATTCCTCTAAGAATTAATCAAATGTCAAGCCCTAGGCCAGGCCACCTGGATTGAAATCCCAGCTCCACTATTTACTCAC